TATACAATTGCGGTTCAGGTCCGAGTTGCTAACGATTTTTGGGTTGAGGAGCTGCTTGAGGTTGTGATTGGGGAGCTAGAGAGCTGAGTTTAAAATTTTTATCTCGCACTGCGTAGAGAATATCCCAACAAAGTTTCAGATTTCTACGTTGTCTGGTTCCCGAAATTGTTTCTCGCCAACATATTTCTTTGGGAGTCCCGTACGCGGGGTCTAGATGCGTATGGGGAAAGATCTTAAAACGGAAGGATGACACACGGGGTAGGAACATAAATCTAAACAGCATCCCTGGTTGCTGAGATGAAAGTGGGCGATAAAATGCACTCGCTTTTCGAACACACACGCATAGACAGCCTCTCAACAATACGCGTTTTTGCTGGCTGTAGCAGCGCTGTAGCGCTGCTATAGGGCTGCACAGCAAAAACGCATAAAAACGTATAAGTACTCTAGCTCTTTGGCTGCGGAGATATGTCAAATCACGTATTCGTATATGAGATGTATGTGACACACAAAAAGAATGCGAAAGTTATTTCCACGTCTACTTATCAAGGCGCGCTCGCCGCCCATGCTTAGAAAGTTTTAGCTCTCAAGCTGCATTTGTTTCGAAGTTACAAAATTGCCTGCATCAAATTTCACGTGCCTGTAAGTGATATGTGGAAGGACGTAAAGGCTAAATTTACTTTCACGAGCACATCAATGGACAGCAAGCAATGTTGCAAAACTGAAGCTCTCTACAGCTTTATACTTAGTCTAACTTCAGTCTAAATTCTGATGTTTACGTACATTTGAGATTTAGGGTTGCATGAACGCTGGATTTAAATTCTTTAAGTTACACATGGGCAAGGAACATGTTCATGAAGTTTCAGCCTCCTAGCTTCCCTGGTTCTCGAAATCGTTTCCCCACCAAAAAATCTTTCAAGTACCCGTATGTGAGAAACAGAAAGACGTGAATGTCCATGTTACGCCTAAGGACTTGTACATAGGTACAGATTAGGTTGCTAAAAGCTTTATAGATTTCGGTGGTCTTATGGTCGATGAACCCGGGCAGACATTACGCACACACAGACATACACGAACACACACACACGTACTACACATGCAGACAACCACTCGACAATACGCGTTTTGGCGCGGCATAGATGCAAAAAAGCATAAAAAGAAAAGAGGTTCGGAAATGTTCATTCTTATCAAATTTTCATTCCATTATCCAAACTTTAAAATTAGGCAAGTTTTAAACTTACCAGAAAATAACAGCGTTAGGCTTGCACTACAAAGAGTGAGTAGTTAAAGAGCTGTCTTTTGGCCGAAACAAGGCAAATTTGTAGGAGAAGTTCATTTGCGGAAAACGCAGACATTTTCTTCAACTCAAAATTATGGTACCCTTTGGTGCGGCAAGCTCGACAGTGTCATCAGAAATCATAGTCCCAAAACTGGAGCTCGCTCCAGTACGCAATCATACTGTGCAGACAGTCTGGTACGGTCATACACAAGTAAACATTTTTCTCCCTTATACGATTTTATTTCCCCAAAATACTTGTGCAAAAAGTTATAAATAAAATTTTTTTTT